CTGAGAGCTTGGTTGCTGCTCAGCTCTGTGTGATGTGATGCATGGTGTGTTCAATCGATCCGTCTCTTTAGTGGGGTGCCCTGCTTCCCTTTTATAGACCAAGGGGAAGCAGGGATTACAGATAGGAGAAAGAAGAGAAACTAGAGGCAAAGGTGGTCCTTCAAAGGTGACGGGTCTTCCTTTTTCTCTGAGCGTGCTTCGCTGACACGTCATATGGTGCCAGGGATAGCTCCATACTAGGTGCATGCCCGCTGATGATGCCATGTTCAGGCTTTGTCAGCAAGTGGTCACGTCCCATCCCGTCTTGGTGGGCGACGCGACGGACCAGGGTGCTGAACCGCGACCCTACGTGGAGCAGACGGCGCAACGACCGCACGTCCATTACTGTAGATAATGCGAGTTTCATCCTGGACCGTAGTGGATGTCGTATGCTTTCATCAAGATCCGCGCCCGAGGGTAAATGGTGGCACCTACAACACTGTAAGATAAATGTCGGCGCCTACAATACTGTTCAGGCTCTGACATACCTGGAAGGGCTTAAAGCGCACGTCCTGTCATATCCTTACGGTAGTTTCCTGCAGGCAGGCAGGGTATGGTCCTCGGTATTGCGGTTGACTTGAGTGCCCTGCCTTATCCACGTGCGTAGTTATGAAGGGGCAGTGCGTAGACGTCGGGCGAGGCGGAGCCACGCCCCGGACATCGGGCGAGGCGGAGTCAGCCCCCGGACTTCGGGCGAAGTGGAGCCAGCCCCCGGACGTCGGGCGAGGCAGAGTCTTCCCTCAGACGTCGGACGAGGCAGAGCCACCCCCGGAACATCGGGCGAGGCGGAGTCAGCCCCCGGACATTGGGCTAGGCGGAGTCTGCCCTCAGATGTCGGATGAGGCGGAGCCACCCCCCGGACATCGAGCAAGGCGGAGTCAGCCCCCGGACATCAGGCGAGGCGGAGTCAGCCCCCGGACGTCGGGCGAGGTGGAGTCTGCCCTCAAACGTCGGGCCAGGCGGCGCCACCCCCTGGACATCGGGCGAGGCGGAGTCAGCCCCCGGATGTCGAGCACCCCACGTGGGCCGGGCGAGACGGAGTCTGCCCTCAGACATCGGGCGAAGAGGAGCCAGCCCTCGGGAGCCAGCTTGAGGCGGGGCCCATTGTCTCAGACGACGAACGAGTGAAAGGTCCTAATATGGCTAGAGGGGGGTGACTAGCCTATTTAAAATTCTATAAATCAATTAGAGCAATTTGATTAGTAAGACAAATAACAAAATGCAAACTTGCTCTAGCTCTATGAGGGTTGCAAGCCACCTATCCAACAATTCTAGTTGCAATGATTACTAGACACACAACTTGCTATTGAACTACCCACTTAAGTGCTCTCAATCTTACTACACTAAAGAGCTTGCTACAACTAGTTTGCAAGAATATAAAAAAAGTGAGTAGGGTGATTATACCGCCGTGTAGAGGGATGAAAACCAATCACAAGATGAAGATGAAATCAATCACCGAGAGAATACCAAATGGTAAGAGACAATCGATTTTCTCCCGAGGTTCACGTGCTTGCCAACACGCTACGTCCCCGTTGTGTCGACCAACACTTGGTGGTTCGACGGCTAAGAGGTGTTGCACAAACCTCGTCCACACGATTGGACACCGCAAGAACCTACCCACAAGTGAGGTAACTCAATGACACGAGTAATCCACTAGAGTTACCTTTTGGCGCTCCGCCAGGGAAGGTACAAATCCCCTCACAATCACCGAAGATGGCCACGAACAATCACCAACTCGTGCCAATCCTCCACCACTGCACCAAGCCGTCTAGGTGATGGCAACCACCAAGAGAAACAAGTGAAACCCACAGCGAAACACGAATACCAAGTGCCTCTAGATGCAATCACTCAAGCAATGCACTTGGATTCTCTTCCAATCTCCCAATGATGATGAATCAATGATGGAGATGAGTGGGAGGACTTTGGCTAAGCTCACAAGGTTGCTATGTCAATGCAAATGGCCAAGAGAGTGAGCTTGAGCTGGCCATGGGGCTTAAATAGAAGCCCCCACGAAATAGAGCCGTTGGGCTCCTCACTGCACTGAACACGGGTCGACCGGACGCTCCGGTCATATTGACCGGACGCTGGACCTCAGCGTCCGGTCGTGCGATGTGCGCCATGTGTCATCGGCTTCAAACGCCGATCGCTCGATTTCAACGGTCAAGTGATGACCGGACGCGTCAGTTAGAAAGTGACCGGACGCTGGATCTCAGTGTTCGGTCGTTTTCCGTAAGGTTCTAAATGCAACATTTCACGACCGAACACATCCGGTCATGCTCAACCGGACACACCCTACGTCCGGTCACTCAATGTTTCCTTTGTGCACCTCACGTCAGTGTACGTCAGCACTGACTAGACTCAGACCATGAGCGTCCGGTCAATTTACACTCTAGCGTCCGGTCACAAGACCGAGACAGTGTGCTTTCTGCTGCCACTGACCGGACGCTAGACCTCAGCGTCCGGTCACTGCACCACCATCGTCTGGTCACTCTGTAATCCCCTGTCTTTTCTGTATAGGGCGTCGGTGACACTCCGCCGGTGAAGTTTCTAACCCTTGCTCAAATGTGCCAACCACCAAGTGTATCACCTTTTGAACCTGTGTTAGCATATTTTCACAAACATTTTCAAGGGTGTTAGCACTCCACTAGATCCTAAATGCATATGCAATGAGTTAGAGCATCTAGTGACACTTTGATAACCGCATTTCGATGCGAGTTTCACCCCTCTTAATACTACGGCTATTGATCCTAAATGTGATCACACTCGCTAAGTGTCTCTATCACTAAAACAAAATGGCTCATACAATTTTTACCTTTGCCTTGAGCCTCTTGTTTTTCTTTTTCTTCTTTTCCAAGTTTAAGCATTTGATCATCACCATGCCATCACCATCGTCATGATCTTTGCCATTGCTTCATCACTTGGAGTAGTGCTACCTATCTCATAATCACTTTGATAAACTAGGTTAGCACTTAGGGTTTTATCAATTAACCAAAACCAAACTAGAGCTTTCAACGAGGAGTGACCCGACAAGCGGTGTAGTCGCGCTCTCGATCGCGCGGATGAGTCAACGTTGATGGTCATTAGCTCCTCCTCTTCGGGTACCCTAATATTGATCCCCGACACATATGTTGCAAGTGTGTTTATTTCAATGTTGCCTATGTTTCACACATGTGTTGCAAGTGTACGTTTTACCTGGATGTTGCGTATGTTTTACAATGGTTTTCAAGTGTTTGTCATGTGTTTTTGTAAGTGTTTCAGATTCATGTTTCAAGTGTTTCATCTGCCTTCAGACGTATGGTGCAAGTGTTGCATTGGATGTTTTAAAAGTAAATCGGGTCTTACATCCCCCTACTCGCCTTTTGCTGTCTCCTCCTCCCAATGCCGACTGGGCCTCCGTCGCCTTCACCCCCTCTTCTCGATGTTCGTAACATTCGGGGCAGCATGGACGCCGCATGGGCACGCAAAATGACGTGGAAAACAGACTGCATGTGCGGGCGTCCGGATGCCTCGTACGTGCGGGCATCCAGACTCTAGCAAGGCCGATAAAAATATTGCACGAACTTATTAGAACACGGACGAACACGACCATCTATCCTTACTCCTTAGGGGCTCTTGCGTTTGTACCCTTGTTTTGTATCGAAATTATGATTTTGCCCCTATTTTTTTTTACTTTGTGAATTTACCCCTATGATTTCAAAACGAAGCACCAGTTTGCCCCTACTCCGTCATCCACCCTTAACGGTGTTAAACTTTGTACAAAAGGACATGAATGCCCATAAGATTTTGCCCCTGTTTGTTATGTCTAATTATGATTTTACTCTGATTTGGAATTAGACTTTTTTATTGTATGCTGACAATTGATTAAATTTGGTCAAACATATTTGGCACAACTTGCAATTATTTGAACTTAGATTTAATATTGATAAATATTCAAAATTTTGGGACCAAAAGGTTCATAATGATAACAGATGTAACACCATAAGAAATATTTCGATATAATCTTTTGTGTGGGACCAAAAATCTTTAATGTATAAGAATGCATGTAGAACATCGGTTAACAAGCTGTATAAGTAGATGCCTGCATTGATAACCTTAGTACCTTACCACATAGGAATGTCATACAGTACATGTTTTTTCAGCAAAAGTAACCGCCATACAAGTTGGTTCATGTAACACTACAAGCACTAAAACTACACCATGTATTTACTAACCAAATTGGAAAAGAGAATGACATGAATAAAAAGACAGTTGTGAATCATCATGATCGACCATAGCAGCATTTACTACAGAAACAACAAGTCATAAGTTCTAAAATAATGAGTGGTAACAGACTAACAGTAAAGAAGGGTCCTGGCCTCTAAACTAACCTGATACATTTCTAAAAATTGGGTGATTGAGCATTTGAGAATATACAATGCTCTCGATTGACGGAGTCAACATTTCCATTGCAACTTAAGGGTGCTGACACACCAGAGCAGTTGCCACATTGGGAGATTGAAGTGCTCATGTCATTTGTAAGGGTAGAAATCAGCTTTTGCAGCAAAGGTACGGGCAATTTTCCTGAAGGTGAATCATGTGTACAGTCAATCCTGTCCGACATGCCAAGCTCATTGATTTTTGCTTTTAGCAGCCTGCTAAATTCACCTTTCTCAGAAGTAGACATAACAGATGGTGAAGCTTCCATATATCTTTTTTCAGGAGCCGGCACCCGTGTCCTTGAGTTGTATCAGGTGCTAGTCTACTTGGGGATCCACTCTTCGATATATTGCTCCGCGATGAAGCTCTGGCCACTGGCTTTGTAGATGATCTAGAAGTAAAGGCAACTGCATTTCTATCCTCCCTATGACTGATTGCCCTATCATTCCCCACCTTCCTCCCTGATCCCCTTTTAGGCGCAGATCCATTGCTTGAAATCCTACTTGTGGATGGTAATCCATTTTGGCTGTTCAAATCCCCGCAGGTCATGCTCCCTTGTCCAGTGATCGATCCCACGAACTCGCTTCTTGGACCAGAACCACCATGTGCAACCTTCCTAGTGGCAGAGCGCGTCCAACTAAGCGTGTCGAATCAGCCAAGCCCCCAGACTCTGTAATCCTAGAAACCTCCGGTCGAGTAGGTGTTGCCCGTTTGCTCAACAACCTCTCATCTCCAGTTTGAACGACAGCACCGCTCGATCTAACCCTGGCATAAGTGCGCATTACCTCATTTCTTACTCTACTCTCCTTATGCTTGGCTTCCATATCAGAGCCCCGTTTGCTCCTGTTTTCATCACCAAAATCCATTATAGGCAACACTACCTTGCTGGTACTGATCGCTGCATCGGCATTGCCGGTGGACACAATGGCTTCCATATCAGTGCTTGCTTACTCATCGTATCATTGATCGTCCTTGGGTTAGTTAGTTAATTACATGTCATCACATAGATGCACATGTGCACGTTCGATCGTACGCACTGACGGCGGCTCCCATTGGAGATTCCGCGATCCGGGGGTTTGTTAATCGCGAGGGTTTATCCAACTGATGTGGCACTTTTGTCATTCATTAGGCTGGCATCATACGTAGACGCACTAATACACTCTTTCTTCAGGACGGCTGCCCGGCTTCTCTCTATTCCGGTCGATGGATATGGATAGATTACGTACGAGATCTCGATCTCATCAAAAGGAAAAGGTGATCATGTAGTTTTTGTTCTTTCCAACGTGGGCACGCAGCTGATAACAATCATCATTTGGCGCACATTTAACTTGACCGGAATTTCAAAATTCGGTAGCTTACCTCTTTTGACCAATGGACGGACTTCTGCTGCGAGTGCTGCTGTCCGTGCATCATTCGGCGCGGTAATCTGATCGCTGGTTGGTTGGAGTCGGGGCTTATCCGTTAGGTCAACAGTTATTTTTCTTTTACAACAAATCAGTATCAGCCGGCTTATCAGTCCAGAAACCAACCAACGATCATGCCGAATAAGCACAATAGCAGTAGCAGTGGTGTTTTCACGTTTTATTTACAGCTGACGGGACTGCATGCGGCTTCGCTGATGAATTAACTAGCCATCAGAGTTTTCCAGCAGTGTAGTAGATATGTACAGTTATTTACTCTGAATTATTACGGGTAGCTATATATAGCAGCAGTTGACGACAACTGAGTAACGTTTCTGCTCTCTCTCTCTTATTATTATATATTATTACTCCCTCTTTCCTTAAAAAAAGTGACGTCACGGGTCTGTGCTGGTCAAACTTTCTTAAATTTGATTTGATTTTTTTAAATACTAACAATATTTATATCTATAAATAAATTTATTATAAAAATATATTTAACAATCTATCTAATGATTATAATTCTATATTATAAATATTAATACTTTTATATATAATCAGTCAAGTTATAAATATTTGATTTTTAGGAAGTGAGGATGACTTCCTTTATTGGGATAGAAGAGTACTACTATCCAGTGAGCGAGTTCGTTCCACGTCCGTATAGTACTGTCTACTGTGTTACGGCGCCAAAGTCTTAATTTTAATTGTTACTCCTTCTCCTTCTGTCCTTAAATAAATCAATTCCTATAATCTATATTAGTCAATTTTTTTAGTTTGACTAACTTTATAAAAAAAATAACAACATCTATGTTATAAAATGAGCATTTTATGGCCTCGTTCGGCTTGCTGAATCTTGGCTGAAACTGGCTGGAAAACACTGTTCTGACTGAATTGTTGTGTGAGAAAAACGTTATTTCGACTAAAAAAACAAGTTGAATGGTACCGTTTTTAAGGTAAGCCGAACAGGGTAAGAAAATATATTATATGGTAAATCTAATAATACTAATTTGATACAATAAGTCTTAACATTTTTTTAAAAAAAAATCGATCATAGTTTAAAAAATTTGACTTAAGACAACTCTATGAATATATTTATTATAACACAATATAATGCACGAAATTCGAGCTAATCCCGGCTTCAATGGGTAAGCTGATATGCATGCCTGGAAATATCCAAGCATAATTCTCTCGCAGGTGGGTGTGGGTCTCTCGTGTGATAGATAACGTCGCAGTCATCACATGATGAGGTGTGTAACATCCAAGTATTATGCCCTAAATAAATTACTAAATCATATCATGAGCATCGTCTTTATGTAATAATGCATGTGATACAAGCTGTTGATAAATTTCTTGTAGCCTAAAATAACCAATAAAAATGTTAAATGGATGTTGATTCAATAGCTTATGTATATCAAGTAGGGTTGAAAATTAATTTTTATTAAACAAAAATACTATAAAACATGTATGTGGTACTTAAATAAAGTTTAAAGTACAAACATTGTAGCTAACAATGCAACTCTTGCTGTAGAAAAATAATATGACTAGCTAGTATTTCTAATGGCTTGGAAATGGAACTTTAAGTTAAATTCAACTCAAGACTTAGAAGAAATTTTAAGTTTAAAAACAGTGTGACAATTCCATGTTGGTGAATTAATTCTGAAAAATCTAGCTAAAGGTCAATGCTTAGTTTTTGCTCCTTATGGTAGACTGATGTACCATCGTTAGCATGGTCGAGGTAGTTTAGCTTCAACTGTGTTAGGTTAGTTTTTAGATATGCTTTAAAATTCGTGCACGCCTGGCCTGTGCGCACAGTCACCTCGCGTGGCCGCTCGGCATCGCGTGGCTGGCCACGTTCCGCGCGCCACAGTGCCGATGCCCGGTCGACCTGTATGGCCATGGGTTGGTCGTGGCCGGCCCAGCGGACCGATATCGTCGCCCTGCAGTTGCTGGCCGTCGCGCTGCTACTCCACCTCGTTGCCGCGCTGCTGCGTGCACCGCTGCGCCATGCCAGAGGGCTGCTACCGCGCTACATCGGTGCAGACACTGTGCGATCATGTGGTGAGGCATCGTCACGATGCTGTTGTCAGGTGCCCCCACTGTCGCCGCGTGCGCGCGCCATTTTGATCGCTGATCCGCGCGCGGGGTTAGGCCGAGGCCGGGGCCGTTGTTGCCATGGCTACATGGCAGTCGCCCTGCCCTGCCATTCACCTACCATGAGCCCGTGTCGCGCGCTCGCCGCGTCTGGGTCAGCCGACCCTAGCTTCAGGGTGACGGTGACGCCTCCCTCCTTCGCCCTGTCCCGCTAGCCGACGCCGGTGAGCCGCTTGGGCCCGGCTATCGCATTCAAGTGCTCCGCGCGCTGGCACACCTCTTGGCTCCGTCTAGCACTACTCGACGCGCCTCCTGCCCTCGCTTGTGCGGCCATGTCCTCGCGTTGTCGTACCCTGTTGGGTCATGGCTGGGTCACCTCTGATGGAGCCATGTCGCGTGATGTAGCAGGGGCGATGCGCCGCCCTCTTCCCTTCATAATCACCAACTCAAAGCTTCCTAGTCCAATTCCTCGCGTCAGCGAGTAGCAGAGAAAGTTAGCTAGACGTCCCACTCTTGTCGGGTCCAGCGGTGGTCTGGTCGCGGCCAATTTTAGATTTTGCTCACCGCCGGTCATGTGCGCCGTCGAGCCGATAGGTTTGGCGGTAAGGCCCGTAGGGTTAATAGTAGTTCAATTGCTCATAACCCCGAACTCGCCTTGACTCCTTCCATCCGGTGCTCGCGCTATCTTAGCCAGGGAACTCGTCGGCGACATGGTGACGCATGGGCGTCCATCCCGGAGCACCGCTGCCCCAGCGGCTCGCACGTGGCCAGACCGTCGCAGCGCTCCCCTGCTTCAACCGTTAGTAGGGCGTACACCACGGTGAGCTACTGATGCTTCTCTTCCATCTCTACCTTTCCGTGAGGGCGTAGGCTCGCCAGAACAGTCGTGCCACCGTCGTGGATAGCCGCTCACCGCTACAGCCCGCGATAGTACGCCTCTGAGTCCCTAACAGCCACCCATCCTTGCGCGTTTAGCTTTTAGATGGTGGTCAGCCCCTTAATTCCGTCGTAGCGAGCCTAGTTGGCCTGGCGTAACCGCCTTCTGCCGTCGGTCACCGCGCCGCTGCGCGCGGAGGTTTCTAGGGACCTGTTCGTGGTGAGGACGAGAACAGCCGAGGGCTTGGTCGTAAAGCCAATGTCGATAGGAACAATGCACATGGTAGTCGTACTATTACCTCGAAGCTCGGGGGCTTTTCTACAAAGCCGCCGTCGTGCGCGGGCTCCCTGACCTTGAGCCACGTTGGGTCATTGCGACGTGCGCGCGGCTGCACCCGCGCTGGGCTACTAGGCCGAATCAATGGCCCTTTTCTTTTTCTAAGGCGTTTTCTAATTTAGTTTTGAAGGTAAACTTGTAAATTTAATATAAATTTGTGTAGTTGGTCAAAAATTGTGAAATTAATTTTGTTAGGTTTCTAAAATCATGATCTATCTGCTAGTATATTTTGTTCATATAGTTTTATAATATTTTCAAGAGTTATCTAATTAATTTGATATGCTTAATATTGTAAGATATAAATTTGTAGGAATTGTTGTGATAAATTGGTAATAGTGTTGGCTCTGAAACTTTCACAGTAAATTTCTAGCATTATTAGATGCTCACTGTAATTTTTGTAGATCCATAATAATTAGTTGTTAAGGTAGCTAAATGGGCCCTAATTTGAAAATATATATTTAATCAATAAAATGTCGAAACACCTCGAGAGTTTAGAACTAAAACATTTGATGGGAAACAACACCTTATTTGACAACGTCGTACGTAGCCTAGCACGTTAGTTATTAGAGCTATTTTGTTAGCTTGCAAAGCGTAATCGTATTTCTAAGAGTTTCGGTTGCCGTTGATTATTTACGTCTCTGCATTGCATCCACGTATACCATAATAGGAACAACGATAGATCATAGAGTCGATCGAAGTAGCAGAAAGGATGATGCCTTGATGATCGGGTCACTGCGATGGAATGCTAACTTTTGGTTATATCTTACTCAGGCAAGCATTGGTGCATAACCCCTATTATTCTGCACTTTATTTTATGCTTGTGCATTAAGTTTTAAAGAGTTCAATGAAAACCCACTTGCATATATATATATATATATATATCCTTATCCTATGAGTCCTACTAGTATGTCAGGATCGTGTAGATTGCTATGCCATAGGGCCCGATAGAAATCGAGTGATTACCTATCACTCGCGAGAGATAGGAAAGATATTATTGTTGTTACTATATTACTATCGCATAGAATATATGTGGAGTATAATTGGAGACCAGGTGGAATGGTACTTTGGATCTAGAGTTGGTTAGGCATTCGAGCGAGGCTCGGATTGCACTTGTTCCGCCTGTGTCGATTGAGGACCGTCCGTTGCTGTGGATGATAGTCAGGTCACAAACTTATTATCCTGAGCACATACCTGCTTATGGGAGCGGGAAGGCTCGTTATGCTCTTGTCGTAGA